GAGAAGAAGGAGAAGGAGAAGGAGAAGGAGAAGGAGAAGGAGAAGGAGAAGGAGAAGGAGAAGGAGAAGGAGAAGGAGAAGGAGAAGGAGAAGGAGGAGAAGAAAGGAAGGCCCTGAGTTTAATCCAATCCACAGTGCCGTCAGTAAAAAGACAGCTATATGCTCACTGGTTTCTGAAGGGCGTTTTCAAACAAGTCTTTCTAGCATCTTAGTGAATAGTGGGTTGTCCAACATCATCTTTCCAGAACATTCAGATGGTGGTATTTGGGGTTCAGCCTCAGCTGCACCCTCTCCTATCTCTCTGGCATGGTTTAGACGCGCTCAAGGAAGATAGAGGTAAAGACAGAATCTTTAAAAACCATCAACATTCAGGGCGGATGCGCGGGCCCTGGGGGCCTGGCTCGCCTCGTGCGCGGGCAAGGGCCGTGCAAGGCTTCGCAGTGTACCAGGGGGCACGGTGCAGGCTCAGCGGTCCCGCTGTAGTCCTGAGGTGGACAGCAGGACACTTGGCCCCCAGGCTTCATGGAGGAGGGAATGGGGCTGTGTCTGGAAGCTCCCTAACCACGGAGGCACCCCTGGCCGGCTGCGCGAGCCTCCTCTCTCCCTACCCACCCTGCTGCGCCTGCCTCCATCTGGCATTGCTTCACCCAGAGGCCTCCCTGGACCCCCAGCCCCAGCCCACCTGCTCGCATCTTTCCCAGCCCCCACTTCGCCTTCATCCTGGCCTTTGTCCTTCCCTCCTGCTGTCTGCCTGCACCCTGGGAGGCGGCTCCCGGGCCACGGGCCTGCGGTGCTTAGGCAGCGTGTCTCCAGCCGGGGTCTGCACCCAGCAGACACAGCGCATGCTCCGTGGCCGCGTGTGAGTGAACGGGAGGTGACGGCGCAGCCGGAGCCCTTTCCAAGCGGCCAGATGTGCAGAGAGCAGCGACACTTCCTTGTTGTCAGGTGCCTGGGAACAGAGCTTGACCTAGACTCTCAGCTCTCTGACTCCTCCCTGGCCCCACTCAGCCTTAATTCTCGAGAACTGGGCTCTTCCTCCACTGGTCAGATGTTGCTTTAGATCTGAACCGCTGCCATTCAAGCCGAGGTCACAAAGACAGGGCCTCTCTCTGACCTTCCCAGCCACTTGAGCCCTTTGTCCATCTCATAGGGCAGAGCAGCCCAAAGGCAAGTGCCCCATCGTCCACTGCTGCCTTCTACACTGCACAGAGTTACGGGGTGATGAGTGACCAGGGAGAGGAGGACAGAGCTAGCCCTGCAACAGTCAGAAGGAAGCCAGGACACAGGCACAAGGGTTTTAAGGGATGGGGGTGGGGTGGCTGGCTGCCATAAGGGAAATAAAGCAGGGTGATCTGATGGAGACAGTGAGTGGATGTGAAGGGCCACTCTGGAGATCCAGCGACAGAGGAAGTGCAGGCGCAAAGGCCCTGTGGTAGGAATGAGTTCAGCACAGCAGAGTATCCATAAAAAGGCCAAGGGGGTGGGCACAAAGCAAAGAACGGCAGGAAACGACATTGGAGTGGAAGCACAGGGCCTGGCCTGCTGTGTCAAAATGTCAAAGTGCATTCTAATTGCAAAGGAAGCCACCACCCACCTAATACAGGCGATGACATGGTCTCTTATTTTCAAAGAGTGCTGCGGATGCCAAGCAAAGAAAAGACTGTAGGTGGAAGAGGGCAAAAGCCAGAAGAACTGAGAAAATTCAGTGTAGGTGGCTTCCTTTCCCACCTTGGATGGAATCAGACTGTTTTTCGTGGACATGGAGGAGAATTGTTTACTCTGTCTTTTGAAAAAACAAAACAAAAAAACAACTAAAGCTTTGGATGTTTAAGACTTTCCAGGGTGGGAGCAGAAGGAATAGTAAATAAAGCAGTAAATCGCTGTCACATAACTGTGTGACATGCCAC